GGGAGAACAAGCATCTGCTCCGCCACTCCTGCAAGGGGGGGAAATTTCTTCAACCCTATTTTCTTCTAAACTAAACAAACCTCGTGGTCCCCCTTAATAGAGAAAACAGTCTAACATTACGTAGAAACACCAAAATTAAAGCTTAACAACTATTAAAATCAGTCAACCTCCTCCCACTTCTCACGGCCTTCTATTAACAGAACTTTACAATAAAAGATAAACGCATTTGTGTGTGTGTGGCAATTCCTTGTGTGCATTTTTGGGAAGGGGGCCATGTAAACTAGTAGGCACCTGATTAGTAACAGGAAACAAGCAATAACCCACTATCACCAAAGATTAACATACTGTGACATCAAGTCTGCTCTGTACACATCTCTTCTTGGGTAAGGTGAGCAAGCGTTGCTAGAAAATATATAGCTGTCTCTGCACACTGTTATTAATTGCCAGTGGTTGTGGTCTTAAGAGCTGCCCATAAAAATGTACAAGCATCCAGCACAGTGACTCAAACACCTTTGGCCTGTTCACTATTGACCTCAACTGAGAATCATAGCTGGAAATTGGAGATTCGTACCAAGAACATGTAGCTACATTGAAGTTACACTTCTCTTCCTCCAGCAATTACTTTTTTTAGCGTTTTTTAAATGAACAGTCTTTACTTGGTGAAGACCATCCAACCTAATAGGTTATCAAGCCTGTATACCAATGCTTGTGTTCATCTCTCCCAAAACCATTGAACAAACTAGCAACTCCTCTCACTTACTTGGCAGTTTGACAGCAACCCATTGCACAACAGATTCAGCGTAACATTAGAATTCTTAGTTTTCTGCTAAATGTTAGAATAACACTGACACCTCTTTACTGGCCGAAAATAGCATTAACTACTCAGGATTAACCCTCTGCTTCCCTACAGACCTGGTCAATTGTAACAGACATAGCTCAGACCAAAGCAAGTATTGTCCATTCTTTGAGTGGAAACTCAAAAAAATCTAGTATTTTGAAGCCTGAGCTTACCACTGCCAATCCTCCTTAAACCCCATTTATTCTGTAAGTAGGGCCTACAATTTGTGGACTGATCTGGAGACTTTGCAAAGGCAAAGCTGTACATGTACTTCTTTTCCTCCTTACCACCACCAAGCTATCACAGCTGAAACCCGCAGCATCACAAAATGGAAGGTTGCACACTTTTAATACTGTTCCATGGTTCCTGTTGCAATTGAAAACCCTACACTTAAAAAGAAATGGAGATGGGACTTTCCCCATTGGCTGAAAACATGGCTGTGGAGGAAGCTTCCTCTAGTCCCTGGATAGCAAAGGTGTTAATTACTGACAAAGCACCTACAAAGACTAGTTGGAGCCATTTGAAGCCTAACAGCACTGTGTCACAGCGTTCAAAGGTCTGGTCGACCAAACAAAGTACTTCAGTGAGTTTGTAAAAAAAAATCTACTGCATTATATTAAATCAGCATACTTTCACCAGAACCGCAATCTCTTTCCTCCCATCATGGTGCTCTCTTTACAGCACATGTGGCTCTTCAATCAAGTTGTGTTACTAGGAAAGGGGCTGAAACTGAAAAAAAAATAGATGTGATAAACCTGAAGCAGTGCTTGGTTGGGGGTTCTACTGTTGTGTTACACAGCTTGGTATATATGTGTGAAATAAGGAATACTCCACAGTAATCCCTTCACTGGTCAACATGCAGGCTGGTAGGGATTTACCTCCCCCACAGACGCTTGTCAGCGCCTATCTACAACTAAGTCCTCCGACCAGTAGCTCACTGGGAGCAGCCACTGCCTAGTTTTGACCTAAGAAAAATCTACACCAGAGATGGGTGGCACAGTGAGACCACAAGGCAATGCTAAATGCTAGCAAACTCGCCCTCTACTCAGCTTGCTATGAGAATTGGCATTTGCTATTTATCCAGTCTCTCATGTAAATCATCTCTGAAACGGGAAGAGTTTGGATCAACTACAAATGCAAATTACACACACATGAATCTATCTCCCTGTTCCATTTATATCATGCGACCTGCTCTAGGAGTGGGGAAAATGCTGCCAGATCAATCCACTGAACTCACCAACCTGGGGGCCAGAAGATTGCCAGACACAACAACTGGGAAGAGGAGGGAAGAAGAAACTAGGAAAAGACTATTTGACTCCACAATACAAGCCTGCCATTACACTGAAGAACTGCAAGGTCAAACCAGAGCCTTAATTACTAAAACTGGAACACCTTATAACAGCCTTCCTTATTTACTATGCTTACTTGATTAGCTCTCTTTTTGTTTCCATCACTGGTGTGAAATACAGGTGACCTATTCCTCTAGAAGATGACAGGTTTTCCAAAAGAAACATTCCTGCCATACACCAAAAAAATCCTCACCAAAACCCCACAGCCCATAAAAAACTAAATAATAACTTGCATGTATGCACAGTTAAAACACCATAGGAAACCTGGTACTCAAAACTCACGGTATTATATAGAACAAGTTCCAAACACATACGTTTCACTAAATGCACCAATCCCTAAAATCGTTTTACTGCATATACCACCAGCTTTATACCATGCTATTTCGAAAAGAAAAATACTCATTCTGGGGAAGGGAAAAAACTGCGTGAAGTACATGCTAAAGCTACAATGCTTAATTGTATATTTTAGTACAAGAGTTCCATTAGTTGTACACACAGCTGAACAGACAATTGAAAAGTTTGATTTTGAGGAAGCCCAAGGGGAAGACAAGGAGGGCACAATTTCCCAAAACTTGATAAGCTGAGGCAGTGAACCCATAGATCCCATTTCAGTCCCACTCCTCCTCCTCATCCTCCTGCATATCCTTTGTCCACCCTATATTCCTGGCACAAATCTTTGTGGGATCCCAAGATGACCTGGATTGAGGAAACATTACATATTCAGTTAAACAAAACAGAAAACCTGAAAGAAAACAAGATGAAGACATCAAAACACTCAACATGCTGCAATACAGCTTAAGAGAAGGAGCCCAGAAGAGGCCTGGCTGCACAGAGGAAGCCAGGGCAGGAAAAAAAAGTAGATAAAAGTGTGTGTTGGGTGTAAATGGAAACAAAACAGGAACATTCTCCTTCACAGCTACTGCAGCAACAAACACAATATTATGTCAACAGTTCACTATGCATAAAGAAGAGTTGAAATGATGCCTTGTCTTCCACAAAAGCCAGAAAGATACTTTTCATCTTAGTTTCTGTTTTGGTTTTTTTGGTTTGGTTTCGTTTTAACCCAGAAAGTATCAAAGGCACCGAGTTCCCTATGATTAGGGCTGAACCACCCAGCTGCTTCTCAAGTTTCTGAATTCCCACAGCCCAAACCTAGCAAATATTCCTCAAAAAAAAATTTTTCCTGCAATACTCAAACACAGTTTCTTGGGACAGTGATGTAGCAATCCCACTTATTTCTGAAGCTGGACTACACAGGGCACCAGAAGCAGGGACAGCATAAGGGACAAGCCCTCCTGCCCCTTGCCAGCCCCAAGAGAAGAAGGGGGTGCCCCCTCGGTTGCACTGTTGGCTGCTCCTGCGGCTGTGCTGTGAACAAGGGATGAGAACTCATGCAGGTTAAAAATAAAGAACCCCGGCAAAAACTATCAATCTGTCTTCCCCTCACTACTATTTTTAATCCTAACCAGCTCCTTGAACCTACTCATGGTGTGACCCTGCAAGCAGTTGTGTCAGCACGGCTGAGGAAGGAGGGGACAAAGCAAGTGCAGAGGGCAGCAAAAATTCCTAAGAGAGCATGCAGGCAACAAGTGGCAATGCTGTGAAACAATGACCACTGTCTCCCAGTATCATACCTACAGTGGATGTCACCTAAATTTCTACACAGAAATAATTTTCAAGCCTCTGTGATATCTCACAAAGCCAAAAATAAACACACAAATACTTTTCCCCTGACCAGTAGTAGCACACAATAAGCTTTACAAAATTTCCATCAGTATATAAGATAACACAAATTTTATTCTGATACACCGGAGGAGCTATGTGAGCATACTAACTAGACTTTGAGTTTGTTACTCAGGGGGTAGAAAAGGTTGTGGGGACCAGAGGTGGGGGACACGGGAACAGGAACAGGGGGACGTCCAGGCACTGCTCTCCTCACCCCATCGGGCTTCTCTGTAGAATCATAAGGTCATGCAGAAAACAGGAATACTTCTTTTATTTGAAAGATAACTTTATTTTACGGTTCATTTTGGCTTGTGACTAGGATGCGAGGAGTGTGGAGGAGAAAGGTTGAGACAGCATTTTCCATTTCTCTCTTTTAAATGGCATTTTTCAGACAGCCTGTTTTGGTTCTTACTTCATACAGAGGACAACTCCCAGCCTCCTGCATTCTCAGCATATTTTCTGTAATAGTTTGGCTTGAGTCCTACGATTTTAAGCCACATTTTGCACATTTAGGATAAGAACTTGTAAGAGTTCACCAAGGACCTCATAACTGACTTCTAGGAAAGAGGAGGCAGCTTGCTACAGCAGTATCTCAAAGTAGTCCTTTGCAACCGTTACCCACCACACTGCCTTACTATACAGTTTCTCTTCTCAGAAGCATCTGCTTTCGTCGTTTTTTTTCTTAACTTCACATGGTTTCATTCACAGAATATTAAAAAGAAAACAGTAACACTAACTATTTTAGTGATGCTTTCCTTGAAATTACACACACATACTATTGCCATGTCCTTGAGAGGCCAAAGCAAGGGGAGGAGGAGGGGAGAGTCTAAAGGCATTTAATTTAGCAATCATCTACTGCAAAACAGCAACTGCTTTTCCATGCTTTCCAAAACAACAACAAGAACCATCTATACCGATGGATGAAGCAATCTATATCCTCAGTCTTACTAGAAGGACTCCACACTGGCAAGTCTGTTTATGGTAGGGCAGTATGTGCAACCATACCATACTGATAACATAATCACAACCTTATAGCACAAAAGGGACAAAGCAGAAAGGCTATACTTTAATCATAACATACTACTGACCTTTTCCTTGAGGGCCCTTCTTCAAAATCTGAAGAACTAACATCATTGCTCGTAGAGGACACTTGCGATGCATCGTCCTTCTCATTCTCCAGCTGTTCCGATACTGGTCCTAATCCTTTAGATTGGCCATTAGTGAGAAGTCCTGCAAACATGACAAAGTAGTACACAATATTCAAAACCTGCATTACCAGTGCCAAATGGATTTTATAAAAATGCACACATGACACTAACAGTAGAGTGCTGAAGCCCAAAGCAACCACCTTGCAAAGAAATATGCTGATAACATTGATTTTGCACGGAAGGATCCACTAAGAACCTGTGTGATTGTGTGTTTCCAATTTGCGTAACTGTAAGCGCCCAGTCCCAAATAACTACACTACGGGTATTTACAATCATATTTATAATCTTGTCACATCCCTTACTCAAAAACGGACACAGCTTACAGTCATAAACTCATCCCTCTTTTACAGAACCCCTGTTGACTGGCATAGATAAGAGCCTTTTGTATTTCTCTGTAGATCAATATAGAATTAAGCTGCCGTTTGGTCAATTTGTCGTTCTCTTGCTCTTCATTCTGCTGCTTCCAACTATTGCAATTTATGATCCTTTAAAAAAAAATCCTAAATCCCAAAGGGGTGAACATCTGTCTCTTAACTCTAATTCTTCTAGCCAAATGTCACTCAACGACAGAAACTCCAGAGTTGCAGCAAAGGTACACAAAGCAGGGGAAGTGTCTGCCACAGTTGCCTTTTGTGCCTTTCCTCTCCTGAAGGAATACTACAGCAAGCAGAGTCACACAGATGGAAGAAAGCATTGGGCCCTATACAAGCATAATGTTTAACAAAATTTGCATAGTCTACTCAAATGAGTAATATAATTTGACTCTTACAAACAATAGCAGACAGATAGTGAAGCCACTCAGACTTAAGGAAGAATTAAAATAGTAACATATTCTTCAGCAGGCTTTGGGATGAAAGGGAGGAAAATTACTAAAAATTTTATCAGCTCAGTATTTACTCAGTGTTTAAAGAACTTATTACCAGAGGAGCTGCAGTTTTATCTAGAAGAATGCTTTCCCACCTCTCCACCAAAATACTTTAGCAAATGGGGTAACAAAGCTTTGTTTCACAGCTTTATTTCCTCAGAGGGAACACTGGTAGGACTGCCCTCCCTTCGTCATTTCAGCCCCCCTTTCTATCATTGCACCATAGAAAGAAAACAGGAAGGGGTCCAACCCCTTCCAAGATAAGGCTGGCAGCGAGGCTTAAGAATACTAAACCAAAAATGCTTACTAATAACAGCAGTTCAAAACTTGCCACTAGTGCTACATCAGTGCTATACCATTTCAGACCTCTGTTTTCAGGAAAATCACCGTTTAATACCACCAATGCACTTACTCATCGCATAACCGAGCATTCAATCAAGCTCAGCTTCAAAGACACACCGAAGCATAACCAGATCAAAAGCAAGACACCTCCTCCAGCAAGCCGTCTGCTCCAAGTACTGATGCCTTGGCCAAACACTCCCTCCCCTCAAGGTCATTTATTCAGTGCTCACTTGGGCACTATGACTGAGTGCGATACATCCTCTGCTAGCAGGCTCTCGAACCTTTCGGCGCTTACCCGATTCCAATCTAATGGCTCTGATCGCCCATTTTTAAACAGCCTAATCCAAAGTCTGCATCATATCACTACATCATATCGCTCCCTTCTTTTTCTAATCAAAGTTTGCTCTTATTCATTCTGAACTGCACCAAATTTCTCTTGACTTGGCGTCAGAAGTGGCTGCATGGTGGCCACATGCTGCAGTTTTTGTACACTGTTTTTAAAATACTACCTACAAAGCAGAAGCTTGGATTTTTAGTGGTGGGGAAGATGACGTGAACTGGTAGCTTAATTTTTTTCTTTCTAATATGGAGCCCACAAAGCAAAAGTTCAAACTAAGCACATTGCATTAAAATGTCTCTTCTAGACAGCCTGAGACTGGCAGGGAGAAGTTAAATGACCCGATTTACATTTTCACTGCCCTTTTGTTAAATTTCTTTCGATACTTCCTTTCCATTAAAGAGATGTCAAACTGTGACCCAACAAATAATACAGATTTCAGTATCAGCACATGATACTACAACAAGGTTTGCAATGTAACACAATGATACGGCATGGGGTGACAGCATCCCTTCAAAGCATTCCCGAGGAAATGAAGGCAACCTTTTAAAAAACATTAAATAGATTATATTTCTATGCTGAATTCACCCTCGCTGGAAGCCCGAGTGGCCAATTTATTCTTAAAAGTTTCAACCTTTGCTTTGCATTTTTCCATGAAACCACTGCTGATAAACTTTACAATTTTCAAACTCCAGAGAAGTCTAAATCAAGCATATCATTTGAGGCCTAATACTCAGTAACTTAACTCTTATGGCAGAATTTGATTAGGTTTTCCAAAAGCAATATTTGTCCTGGAGACTTGCCATACGTAAAACCCAGCAACCTGAAGTATATGAGTCAAGAAAATCACCTTTTGGGCTGTCAGCTTGCGCACACTTGGAAGGCAATTTTTATTCATCCTTTCACCCCGCCAAACCATCAGTGCACTTGGAAGACAAGCGTGATTTGTGTCCCTTAAGGAAAAATATAGGTTTGTCTACTATTATTCATCATAACCAGCACGATCCCAAAACGCAGTAATATTGCAGATAACTGAAGTTAGCTGTCGTCAGCTGAAACCAATTAAAACAAGTGCCCTAAAACGGAGTCATAAAACTACAAATGAGAGATACTGATAAATAATGGGAACGGGTGTCATGTTCTACAGGTTTTCAGGGCCAGCATAATTGCAAAATCTGCTCCCAAGTGATGAAAGGCACAGACAGCCACAGTCCACAGCCTCCTTCCAAGCACTGGAGAGAAAGCACATGCTGAAGTAGGCTGTTATAAAGTTTATTGCCACTCAATCATTTTTATATCAAATGCATTCAGTTTGCC